ACATGGGCAGCAAGCAACTCCCATCTGGTCACATGGGCAGCAAGCCACTCCCATCCAGTCACATGGGTGGCAAGCCACTCCCATCCAGTCACATGGGTGGCAAGCCACTCCCACAAAGGAGGCCACACCCACAGAATAGGTTCCAACAATTTTTGAAACCCACCACTGTGTAGAACCTTGCCCAATCAGGATTTAGTAAATCCTGACAGTACTACAGATTCAATCTGATTTCTTTGTTCTCGCCACCCGCATGCTCATCTCCCACCTGGGCTATACGAGTGGTGCTGTAGAAGTGGCTACTCAGTGCAGGCAGACTGTGAAGGCCTGAGTGGAGATAGTACTGTAGATTGCATCTCAGTCCTAGCTGGAAATGAGTGTCTTTCAGGCATTATAAAGTGGCATTAACACTTCACGTGGTCTTGATTCAATCCCTCTGTTTATGCAGCTGCTGCACGTGGCTGGCTCATATTTAAATGGTTGCCTAGGAGTTAATTTAATTGCTACTCCAATATGACTCTAGGAGGCATAGCTAGAACAAGAATTTAAAATGGCCCACCCATATAATATGAAATAAAATAAAATCCAGAGAAAAACAGTCCAATCTCACAAATCACCACAACCCACAACATCTGAGAAGCAGTCAGGTTTTAAGGATTTATTTAAACCAGTGTTTCTCAATCTCAGCAAGATGTCATGGACACTTTAACTTCCAGAATTCCCCAAGCCAAGAATGGAGGTCTTATGGATTCTTAGGAGAATATCTTGACATGCTGGTTTCTTGGGTTTCATTAACGGCCATTGCTTAATAATTGGTGGAACCTGGAACATGTTGATTCTGCTGGATTATTTTTATTTATCTATTAAATTTATACACTGCCCATCTTACTATTGGGAGTAAGTTGTATGGGGTGGGCAGGCAGTCCCTCCAACAACCAGGCCTTCCCTAGATCATGACATTATAGATCAGTGTTCTCCAGTGCAATGCTCGGTGAGTCCAAGCGTGGGTTAACACAGCCTATCTGCCCTTGGACTGAGTGATGTTTTTCTCTTGACCATGCCTCCCTTTGCCTCACCATGCTCAGTTTAAAAACTCAGTCCGCCCGTTGGGACTGTTTTGGGAGTGCTCCAGTTCAAAGACAGATAAGATGGGGTTTTTCCCAAATTCTTGGACCACCTTGATCTTTACATTCAGTGATTTGTGCAGGTTCGTCTTTGAGGCTGAGAGGGCACCCGGGTCAGCCCTGTCACCGCTGGTCGCAAGCGGTTCAGGGCGTGCGAACCGCTGGTCGCAAGCGGTTCAGGGCGTGCGAACCACTTGTCCAGCGGCTGCTGGTGAGCGGTGGGGATGGTGGGAGGCCGCCCAGGCATTGCACCCAGGCACCCAGGCTCCCATTCCCGACCGCCATTCCGTGGAGGCTTTGCAGGCGTTTTCGCCGCTAGCTGGGATGGTTTCCAAGCTTGCCCGGCAACAGCGGCGACTGTTAGCCGCTTCACGTGCTTTCCCCTGAGGCAGCTTGAAAATTGGCGGGAGGAGGCTGCGCACGCACCGGCCGCCATTTTACTGCTCCGGAGTGAGGTCGTCGAGAGAGGAGGCGGTTAGCACTTCGGGAGAGCGAAGATTACTCAGCAATAGCAATAGCAATAGCAGTAGACTTATATACCGCTTCATAGGCCTTTCAGGCCTCTCTAAGCGGTTTACAGAGAGTCAGCATATTG